AGGACTGCTCATCTACCTGTACAAGTCTCCCCCATCTCTCCCGCCTTTACCACCTTGCATGGGGATAAAGCATTCCCAGGCCTCAGGATTCCATCCATGTGGGACCCCAGCTCAGAGTGGGCCAGGGGATACAGATGTCCAGTGAAGGGGCAGAGCCCAGGAAGTGAGGGTTCTACTTTCATCTGAAGCAACCCCAGAGCCCTCAACCACCCCGGGGCTTTCAGTCACCCAAATCCAAACACCTGGGGATTCAGAGCAGGTTAGAAGCCAAAGAGAGCTGAACAGGCACACATGTCTGCAATTGGGCAAATGTGCATCTTAGGCAGGGTGTGACCGTGCATCTGGACACACACGAGGGGATGGGGACGCTGGTGGGGGTATTTCAGCGCCTGTGTGTGCGAGCATGTGACTGTAAGCGGAACAGACAGTGACTGTGGTCTGTTGGCACTGGCAGCGAGGCACACACGCAGGCTGGCCATGTGCACTGTGGAATGCATCTAAAAGCACCTCTCACACCCATGGTGAGTTCGCAAAATTCTCACACCTCCCCCGCAGCCCCACATTGTGATCCTGTCCATTCCAGCTCTCACCTCACCTTCCTTAAGTGTCCCCTCCCCCAGTAGCCCTACTCAGGGCATCTCCAGGTGTCCCACCCTGAACCCCTGACCATATCCCCACCTATCAGGTGTCTCAGGGCCTGGGCTGGCCCTTGCCCCCTACCAAGACCCTGCCCCACATCCAACACCCAGGCTCAGACCCGGGCACAAGACTCAGAAGTGACTTTATTTCTCTGTAGTTAATGCCCCTCAGGCCAGGCTGTTGGGCTGCCCCGGGCTTAGCCTCCCTCCCCTTGGGGACCTGGAGGGTCCCAGTCCCCTGCCCTCCCCCTCCCCCCCCCACCCCAGCTTCCTGCCAGGATGTCTGGTCTCCTGGAGATGTCCAGCTGCCTGGGATATGGAGCTGGTGGAGAAATGGAGAAGGCTCACATCTAGGGAGGTGGAGAGCCACAGACCTTGATACCAAGACCTTGCTGTCTCAGCCCTAGCCAGGCCAGGCTGGGGAGGGGCAGCAGGAGTCTCAGGGGACAAGCTCCAAAGCCCTGCAGGAGGGAGGGAGGGGGGAGGGAGGGGCCTCAGGGCCCAGCCCAGAGGAGAGCGGGCCCCAGGCTCAGCAGGAGCCCCCCAGCCAGGGCCCAGGGGCTGCGCCCCGCCGCTGCTGCTGCCCCGTTGCACAAATCTTTCTCGCAGCAGTCCACGTCGACTTTTAAGATCCCAGAGTTAATGAACCCCATCAGATAGTCTGAGAAAAAGTGCCGCTTAACGAAGTCGCAGGAGGAAGCGCACATCTTGTTCACAGAATGATCCTTCCTGCCTGGGGGGAAAAAAGAAGGCATGAGGCTAAGGTCCATCTCCACCTGAGCTCTGTTCCTCCCCTCCACCCACCCCACCCCCCGGAACCCAGGATCCTCCAGATCAGTTTCTGACTTGGAGCCAGGGAGGAACATGCCAGTGTTGTCTTGCCTCAAACTCATGCTCTTGTTCCAGGCACGAGGAACTCAAAGGATATCTCTGACCTCTCCCCAGAGCTACCTTTCAGTAGAGTAGTGAGTGCCCTTACCAGGTCCAGACTTACTGCTGCTGGGGTCGGTGATCCGCACGCTGGCACAAACGGTGTCGGTCGGCTGGCACTGCTTCGGGGCGCAATGGCTGGAATTGGCCAGGGTGCAGTCCTGGCACCACAGGCCATGGGCTAGGCAGGGCACGGGGAGGGGGATGACCAGAGGAACCCAGGCCAGGACAGACAGACCCTGCACCCCCTCTTCCCCAACCTGCTGCAGCTAACCATAGCAGAACCATGCCCATAGATGAGTTCCACTCCTACAAGCCCCGAGTGGGCCTCCAGGCTGACCCTGTGGCTGTACCTGCACATCCTCCCTCCCCCATCCTCTTCCTTCTGCACACAGCACCCCCAAAGATGGGTGGTTTCCAAGACAGGAAAGGCCCACCCTACTTAATAGGAAGCCCGGTGGACCTCTGAGAACGAGGGACCTCTACGCAGTACCAGAAGCCCGTTGAAAAGGCGCTTGATGCCCTCGGGTGCGGGAAGAGCCCCGGTGGCTGGAGCTGAGATATAAGAGTGGTGGTCCCCGCGACATGACCCCTCCCCGCGGGCCCCCGACTCACCCGGCGAGGGGCACAGCAGCAAGGCCAGCAGTGCCAGGCCGAGGCTCTTCATGGCTGCAGGCAGCATGCTCTGAGAGGGCCTGAGAGAGGCGCGGGGGCTGCAGGCAGGGGTCCTCTGGGGCGCAGGCCTGGAGGGGAATAGCCTCGGTCAAAGGACCCAACGCCAAGGACCCTTCCCTTTTCCGGCCTGAGGACGCGACCATTCCCCAGAAATCAAAAGCGCGCGCGGGGGGGTGGGGGTGGGGGGTCCTTCCAGGAGCCTGAGATGCCCCACCCCCAACCCATCACCCGGAGCATCCACCATCACCGCCTCCCCTCCAGGGAAGAGAAATCTGCCCTCTCCAATGAGGTGGCCGCCCGAGGTCCCCGCAGCCTTCACCCTGCACCTGCGTGAGGAGGGTGTCTTCTCTCCCCAGGGAGCTGTAGGTGCGTCCGGACAGGAAAGGCGGGAGGAGGGAGCGCACCTTACCTGCCGGCGGGGGAGGGGTGCACGCCGCGTCCCCGTCCTCGTCCCCACCCCTGGGCTGGGGGGCCGGGAACCCCGCGCCGAGTCCCCTCCCCTGGTCCCCGCGCGCGCGCCTCGGCGCTCACCGCGAATCGGGGCGTGAAGTGCGGGCCTCAGGGTCGGGGGCGCACTCACATCCCTGGGGTGTCCGCACTCCGGGCTCAGCAGCGGGCGCGGCGCGGGGAGCGATGCCCTTCGGTCTCCCTGCGGACCGGAACCGGGGCGCAGCTTCGTCTTTCGGGGAACGCAGCCGCAGACGCGGACCCCGCGCGAGGGGCGGGGCGGAGCTGGGGCGGGGGCCTCGCGCGCCTGGGAGACGCGCGGGGCGGGGGGCGCCCGGGGCTGGAGGCCACGCAGCAGGTCGCCCTACCCGGCCTCTGCGCCCTTCGCTCGCGCGCGCAACGCCCCCTCTAGGCCTCCCGCTCCCGCCGCAGCTGCCCCCCACCCCTATCCACCTCCCTACCCGGCGTGGGAGGATCCTCCCCCTCCACTTGGCCGTGGTCCCTTTGCAGATTCTCGGAAGAGCTTTGGCTGCTAAAGGAAGCGAAATGCACAAAGACGCAGGGAAGGAGGGAGGTAGCGGTCGTGGGGTTCAGACGCCCAGCCTTGGGGCTCCTCCCTCCCCAACCTCCACCTCGCTTCCGATTGTTCCAGCCAGGTCTACTCCTAAGAGCGCCCATGATGCCCACCGGCAAACCAGCCCCAGGGACTTTTGTCACCAACCACACCCACACCCAGAAGGTGACAGTCCTGATCTGAGTACAGGGAGGGTTGGCCAGATTCACACCTTGCGCTCCGTTCCACCTGTCCTTCCATCTCTCCTGGGCTCCGAGTAAGCCACAGCTACCATCGCTCCTTTTCATCCAGGAGTAAAGGTGTTTCGAGTTCAAAGCCCTAGGCAGACCTTGGTTTCTGCCCCCTCTGCCCATGAACCTCACACCAGACAAACGACTGTCATTAATATCAGATCCTTACTAGATATGGCAACCTGGCCGTCAATTTGAGAGCATAGTGTCTGTTCTCCTTATTCTAAATGGCACATGCATTACTTCAGTATAGGTGCACATCTCCTCGCTGCCTGAGTGTTGAGTTACAGGTGAGGAGAACACAACGATAGAGCCTCCTGCCCAGTGCCACACCAATCACTAGGTGACTCGGCCAATAGTGGGATCAAACAGCCTGAGCACTTGAGTGGTTCACAAAGGAAGAGAGGGACTAGACACTTTGAAGACAGGATCTAGATGAAGAGAGTGCAGAGGGTAAGAACTAGTTCATACACAGTTCTCTTCCCTTCAAACCAGTCAATACCATAGTGGAGCCCAAAGCCAACTTGCTGGACAGAGACAGGAGTGGGCGGAGCCTGAGCCTGTACGCAGGCTCCGAGGATGAGCCTTCTTATGGATTCTTGCAGGGTAGAGGCCAGGTGAGCCTTCTAGGTAAGTGTTTTCTATGGAAATGCAGGGAGCAGGCTGCCAGCAGGCAAGTGAATGGTCCATGAACCCTGCGCATCATGACCACTGCTTGCAAAAGCTGATGGCCTGCCTAAATGTACTAGTAAACCGAAGAGTCACACAGAGATAAGCACCAACAGCAAACATACGCTAGAACACAAAGATAATGTACTTATTAAGACATACTAAAAGAAGGAACATGTAACCACAAGCTGAACAGCAAGTTTATCTGAAAGACAGAAAAACTTGAAACTTCACTTCAATGACAAAAGATCAACGGAAACCTTGGAAGAATTCTTGGTAAAAGGAGCCAATCACCAAGAAAGAAGGAACAATAACAACAAATCAAGTAAATAAACAAATGAAAAACAAACAAAAAATCAAAAACAAAAACCTTTTTTATTTACAATACATGCCCCAGATTTTAAAATCCAACAAAGACAGAAAGGTTAGCCAAGTATGGGGGAGGGAGGGATTAAATTTCATTTTGTAGTAATGAAATGCCCTACAACTAGATCATGGTGATGGATACACAACTTTGTTAATAAACTAAAAGTCACTGAAATGTATCCCATAAAAAGTGATTTTTATGTAGTGTGTTATATCTCAATAAAGCTGTTGTTTATAAACAAAAACAAAAACAAAAAAAAAACTCAGCAGAGTTATCCAGCAAATTAGACACAGATGAAGAGGAAATTTATGAACTGGAAGACAAATCTGAAGAAATCATCAGGAGAGGCTGAGGCTATAGCTCAGTGGTAGAGCTCCTGCCCAGAAGTGATTAGGAATGTAACACAAGACATAAGACGTTGAGAAGCAGAAAAAACTACAAAAGGCTGTGTGCAGAGAGCCAAGAAGGATCTAAGTGAAATCTTTAAGTTGGTGTTTGGAGACAGTCTACTTAAAATAAGTCAGAACTGGTGGAAAGTAAGTGTTGGTAAAGATTCTAATGTATAATAAGTAAAATAACAAATGACAGTTTAGCAAAATTGTAGACCACCAAAGACAGGAAAATCTAAAACATGAAGGAGATAGTCCTTATGAATCTGATGGCAGAGCAATCAGAACGAAAGAAAGTGAAATAGTATCAGATTTTTTTCCCCGACACAAAGTTTCTCTGTGTAGCTTTGGAGCCTGTCCTGGAACTCTTTTGTAGACCAGGCTGGCCTCAAACTCACAGAGATCCGCCTGCCTCTGCCTCCTGAGTGCTGGGATTAAAGTCATGTGCCACCACCACCACCACCCCGGCCTAACTCTGAATTTTATGCACAGTTTTCAAAAATTAAGTGCAAAACAAGTTTTTCAGATAACCAAAAGTTTAGGAAACAGTTTAGTATCAAGAAAACAAATAGCCTGACTTAAAATCAACCAAGACTCTAACTAGACACTTCTCAAGAAGGCATACAGGTTTGTAGAAAAACACTGAGTATCACTGGTTACCAGGGAAACACTAATTTAGGCCATGAAATGTGACCTGACATTAATTAGGATGATGATTACAAGACTGAAGTGCTGGGCAGGATGTTGGGGAAGGGAATGTGTGCATGATCTCATTGGAGGAGAAGAGATAGAATGGGAAGACTAGAAGCTGGGCACCAAGAGACACAGTTTCCCTTAGACAGGAGGGTAGGTCAATAAGATCTGTTAAACAGTCCAGGGCCATAGTTAACACAATGTGGTTTTTTATTAGTAAGATAAAGTGTTTTAAATGTCTTCACTGAAAACTTGAGAGAACGAAAAATTGATTGGCTTTGTTTAATTATTCTACAATGTACTGTGTGTCTAAAGGTTCCCTGGCTCCCCTAAAATAAGCACAACTATTATTAATCAAATGTAATACTTCTTTTGGTTTTGCTTTCTTGTGGCAGGGTCATGCTCAGTAGCTCAAATTGACCTCTAACTCAGTATCTCCTACCTCAGCCTCTGGAGTTCTGAGGTTCCAGGTGGGTACCACTACACTGTTGTTTGGTTATAAAGGTTACCTCCCTCCATGTGCCAGTCCCCAGCTGGTGGAACTATAGGGAGCCTTTCTGGAAACTTTGAGGGGGTGGGGATGGAGAAATGAGGACTGGTGGCAGGTCCTGTGGAGTTGCCTCTGGCCCTTCCTGTCTTTTTGCTTCTTGTCTGCCAAGAAGTTAGAACAGCCTCTCTAGCAAATGTTCCTGCCATGATGTCCTTCCTGCCCAAAGCCATGGTGCCAAGCAATGTAGGCAGATACCTCTGAGACAGGGAGCCATAGTATATCTTCCCTCCTTTAAGTTCCTTGTGTAGATCTTTCTGTCACATCAACAAGAAAGCTAGTACACTGACTTCAAATTTTTGGTTGATTATTCTGTATTTGTTTGGGGTGATTTGGCGTGTTATTATTTATTTATTTATTTATTTTTGGTTTTTCGAGACAGGGTTTCTCTGTGTAGCTTTACACCTTTCCTGGAACTCACTTGGTAGCCCAGGCTGGCCTCTAACTCACAGAGATCCGCCTGCCTCTGCCTCCCGAGTGCTGGGATTAAAGGCATGCGCCACCACCGCCCGGCTTGGGGTGTTATTTTTAAAGATAGGCTCTCATGTAATTCAGTTTGACTTTGAACTTACTATATAGCCCTGACTGGCCTTGAACTTCTGACCCCTCTACCTCTATCTTTTCCAAGGGCTGGAATTATAATCATGCTCCCCTACAATTAGAATACTATGTTGTAGTTGAAATAAATATATTTTTCAGATAAAATTCAGAGAGTTTTACCACTAACCACCCTTCATTAAATAAGCATGTAAAGAAGCTACTTCAAGGAGGAGCATGATGATGAAGGGAAGCCCAGATATAAGAGTGAACAGAGAACTGACTTATAAGAAGAGAAATCTTGGACTGGAGAGATGGCTCAGCGGTTAAGAGCACTGGCTGCTCTTCCAGAGGACCCAGGTTCAATTCCCAGCAACCATATGGTGGTTTACAACCATCTGTAATGATATCCCGTGCTCTCTTCTGGCCTGCAGGCAGACATACAGGCAGGATAACTGTACATAATAAATAAATAAGTAAATCTTTTAAAAAGAAAGAAAGAAAGAAAGAAAGAAAGAAAGAAAAGAAATCTAAGTCATCTTATAAAAACAAAGACATCTGCCATGTGCCTTCTAGAGAGCTGGAGACCTGGGCATCAGTATGCGTCAGGTAGAAGGGAGCTCTGGAGTGGGGTATCCAAGACCCTGCATTGTTAAGAAGCAGCTAAGTGAGCAATGAACTTTAGACTCCTTTAGATGCTAAGGATGCAGAGGAAGGTTTCCAGGGCAACCACAGGCAGCTCTCAATGAAGGGACCACACGTGGGGCAGGCAACACGTGCAAAGGCTGGAAGTGGAAAGACATCAAGGATGCAGGGCTGGAAGGAAGGCAGGATGGGGTGGGGTGGGCAGACAGAGAGCCTGGGAATCTACAGGGAGGTGAGGTAGGAGACCAGATACCAGAACCTTCATGGCTTTCAGTCCACAGTATAGGGGGCATGGATTGTGCCCTGAGAACGGCAGTGTGTTACCTTAGTCTGTAAGTGAGAAAATTCCTGTTGGAGAGTATGTAACTAATCTTATGTAACATCTGGCTGGCCCATGGTACTCAGATGGTGAGTCAAACATCATTCTAGGTGTGTCTGTGAGGATGTTTTTGGATGAGATTAACGTTTAGCCAGCATTTTTCTTTTCTCTTCTTTCATTTATTCCTTAGGGTCTCACTATGCAGCCCAGGCTAGTCTCAAGTCACTATATAGCTTAGATGAGTGCCACCTGACCCAGACAGATTAACATTTATTACATTTGTTTGTTTGTTTGTTTGTTTGGGGGTATGCCATGGCTGTGGGTGTGTTGTGTACATTATTACAGGAGAGACATAAACAAATATCAACTCACCCCAGATAGGGAACCACAACAGAGCAAAGGAAAGATACCACCAAAGTCCAACCTGTTGAGCAAATGGGTTTTACTCATTTCAGGGTTTCTTAGAGAAATATGGGCATCCCTTACAGGACAGAAATGACTCAAGGACAGCTGGATCGCCAAAAGCCCATTCTAACATAAACAATAAGCTCAGGAAAGCTGGGAACGGAGAGCACACTGC